CCGTCATACTGCTGTGAATAGGGACGTAACCCATACTGTGATCTGGTAGCATATGCGACGAGAGAGAGAGAGAGAGAGAGAGAGAGAGAGAGAGAGAGAGAGAGAGAGAGAGAGAGACCCCGCGGAGCGCGCGGTGCGTGTGCGATACGTTGTAAGATGCGGCGCCGATGAGTCATCCTCCAACAACCTACACACTTGCGTCTCGTCATCATCCTCGACGAGCCGACCAACTTCCTGGACCGCGACTCGCTCGGCGCGCTCGCCACGGCGGTCAAGAACTACGCCGGCGGCTGCATCATCATCTCCCACCAGCGCGAGTTCTACTCCGCCCTCTGCCCCGAGGTTTGGTCGGTGGTGGACGGCCGCTGCACCGTCTCGGGCTCCGAGTGGATGGACGCCGCCGAGAAGGCGCGCAAAAAGGCGGAGAAGGAGGCGGCCAAGAACGCGTCGCTCACAAAGGAGGACAAGTTCGACGCGTTTGGCAACAAGATCGAGGAGAAGCAGGCGCTCAAGAAGATCCCCAAGTCGGAGCTCAAGAAGCTCAAGAAGCGCGTGGCCGAGATGCGCAAGGCGGGCCAGGAGGTGTACACCGACGAGGAGGTCGAGAAGGAGGGCTACGAGCCGATCGTCTAGCCGTGTCCAGCTTGCCGCGCCGCCAGCCGCGCCCGCCCCCAGTGCGGGGGCGACGGGCAGGGCGCAGGGCGCTGGCGCCCGCACGCGACGCGCGAGGGAGTCCGGAGGAGCCGGGCGTTTGGGGGTTTTCGGCTACCACCCCCTTGCGCCCGGCGCCCGTCTCCGCGCGGCCCGCTATTTGGTGTGCGATGCCAGCGCCTTCCGCCCCACGCCGCCGCTCCCGGCACCGGGGGTTCGCGCGGCTGCCGCCCCTGCACTTCTATCACTTCTCTCGAGTGTCACTATTGTTCTTGTGTGTGCCGTCTACGTCCCGTGTCCTACCGCATGCGTGTAATTTCGGAGGAGTAAGAAGTCTGCTACAACTTCTGGCGAACAAACACACGCGGCACATAGCGGCCCCCTCTGCAACTCTATCGCCCCTGCATCTCCACATCTTCTCAGGTGTCACGCGTTCCCTCCTTGTTCGGAGATCAGTGTGAGGGGTGCACCAACCGCAGAGCGTCGTGTTTTGCCTTTGAACACTGAACACTTGGAGCACTTGGAGTGCAGTCATTAGCCTCACATCCAGGGCCGGGGAGCTCAGAAGCGCACCCAGCGGGCCGGATGATCGGGATCGGGTTGCGGGCAAGAGAGCCCTAGCCCCGGGGGTGCGCGTCCGCAGGGCAAGGGCTGTAAAGTAAACACGGGTCTCCGAGGGTTGGCTCCGCGCTCCGGGTTTCCCCTAGCAGCAGACCGCCCCCTCTACTCGGAGCTATAATGAACACGACACGCACTCTCACACGACGTCACCGCTCAGGACCCCTTCGCCCGAGGTCCTCATCCTCATTCCGGAGGAGGCTCCCCTCTCCTCTGAGTTCTTCCTCTTGTTCGCTTTCCGATGATCATCCGACGGGCGCGGGGCCCGACCTCCCCTCCTAGCCTTTTTCAGCCGCGGCCCCGCCACCGTCTCGTCTTCTCTGTCCGATTCTGTCGCCATCACCGACGGTGATTCCATGCTCGACTCCTCGGGCGAGGGCAGCGGCATTGGATCGCCACGCCGCCCCTCCCCGGGAAGTGGGGCCAGCTCTCTTCGGTCGAGGACTCGCGCCCGCCCCTGCGGTCTCTCTATCGTCCTCGGCTCGTCCGTACGTCCCGACTCTACTCGCAGAGGCCGCGTCAGCTCATCTCTCGCCTCCTCCGACAGCTGACCCCAAGCCCCCCCCGGGGCCCTCCGGCCTCGGCTTTCTGGTTCGCCGGCGGGTCCGCTCTCGTACCGCGGTAATTCCCTTCCCCCATCTCCTCCTCCCGGGTACACCAGCCTCCGGCGGGGCGGTCCCGGGTCCCCCAGGTTATTCCGAGCGGGTCCATACGGTGGCGGCCCCGTCGGCGGCGGGGGTGGAGGCGGTGGCAGGGGCGGCGGGTGCGGTGGCGGCCCTCGCGGCCCAAAGGCCTGGTGCGGAGGGGCGGCCCCACGACCCTGCAACCGTTCCAGTGGCGGGGGCGGAAGTGGCAGTGCGAGTGGCGGGAACGATGGCGGCACTGGCGGCCGCACCGCCTGGTGTGGACCCTCAGGGGCGGCTCCTCGACCCAGCAGTCGCTCCAGCGGCGGGGGCGGAGGCGGTGGTGGTGGGGGCGGGCCTGGTGGCGGCGCCGGCCGCCGCAACTCCTGGGGCGGGGCCTCGGGGGATGCCCCCTGCCCCTGCGGCCGTTCCAGCCGTGGTTCCACGCGTCGGCCGTCCACTCCGCTCGTGGGGGGGGGCCTAGCTCTCGTCTCCCCTCGGGAAGGGGGGGGGGCAGGGCCCGGATTCGCCGACGGCCCCACCTCTCCGATGGGATCCTCCTGAGTCGACGTGCAGGCACCAATTT